CTTAAGAGGATAGGCTTGGGCCCAGCAGCATGGGCTGGGATTGACCCTATGATTTCCTCTCCTGGACACTGGGGATGACAGTGCCTACACTTCCAAGTGCTCACTGAGAACCGAATGGATAATGAATGAAAAATGCAGTCTTCCGACTATGCAACAACCCACTGCCATCAAGTGGGTGCTGACTCACAGTGACTACTCATAGTGACTTTGGACATGGTAGAACTACCCCTGTGGGTTTCTGAGACTGTAACTCTTTACAGGAGTAGGAAGCCCCAGCTTTCTCCGAGGATCGACTGGTGGTTTTCAAATGTTGACCTTGCAGTTAGCAGCCCACCCAACTCGTAAACATTGCCACCAGAGCACAATACGCACTCAAAATATACCATCCCAGAAACCCACTGAGAAAGAACCTGCAAGATGTGGGAGCAGGCAGGTAAGTGTCCATCCACCAGGAAGATGAGCAACTAGGCAGCAGAAACAGAAATGATGAAGGCAGGAGCCCAAGAGCTGAAAATCTAGCTCTCAAGGTCTATGAAGGGTGGTGGCAGTCCTGACCTTCCCAGCCTCCCAACTTTGGCCTTCTGTATAATCACCTTGAAGACTGTACATAGTCATCATTCCTTTCAGAAAGGTCTGTTATTTCCTGTTCCTTTTATAAGACCAAGCGCTGCTGTTGTGGGACAGAGAGATAAGTCCCTGTGAGGGGTTGAAGTGCCTCCTCGTCAGGGATATGATTCTTTATCTGCAGATCACTGTGGGGACTTAATGCTAATTTCTGCGGTGACTACTTTTAACCTCAATCTTCCCTGCATAGAGGGAGATGTTGAGGATGCCTGGCACAGCCTAAGAGTTAAAAAATCACTTGGGAAGAGAAATCTCTATGGTTACCACTTAAAAAAAAAAATCACTGCATTCTATACTCTGGCCACAGATTTAAGTCACTAAACTCAGCCTTCTCCTAGGAAACCAACAAGTCAGTGGTTATCCTGATGGGGGAAAAAATTCTATTCACAGAAGCAGGAAATACACTACACACCCCTTATGGAGGTCTATCGCCAGATACAGTCAGAGGTGGATGCTGCCTGGGAGGGGGCCACCATGGTGTATAGAAACGGAAACTGGGAAGATGGGACTTGCTCCAAGAACATGTTTGTGTCATCAGATTCAGACAATGGCGACCTCTCTCCCAGAATTTTAGCAAAAGCTTTAGAAAGATACATGGTGTTCCCTCCTGGTGTTCAGGAACAACCCTGACATTCCCAGCCCACTGCAACCGTGGCAGCCCCCTCAAACACCAGCCCCTGCTCCGAACAGGGCCCATACCACCTCAGTGAAAGAAGCCAAAGACTTACTAGTGAAAAGCTCATTATCCTCCTTCCTTTGAAGCCACAGTGGGGACACATCATTTCCCAGAGTCCCAGAGACAGACAACTTGGCACAATCATGTTCAAACTGGCCAATTTCTCTATCTAAAGCCCCCTCTGAGGACATCGCAGGCCCTAGGGCTTGAGGCTTCTCAAAAGGACCAGAACTTGCTCCAGAGGGCCCTTTCAGGCACAGTACACCTGGATGTGTGCTATCTGATCCCACAACTCAGAAGGCCTCCTTTCCTGTGAGGTCGGCACAGGAAGCTCACTGTGCACATCACGTGATGGCAGGCAGCCACTATAGAAAGCACCAAGGGTATAAAGGGAGAAAGAAAGCAGTTGTGCTTCAGGGAGAATGGCCTAACTCTAGAACAGACAATCCAATCAGGCTCTCATTTCCAAAATTAACATCTATGTCACTCCTCTGCCAAAAAACCCTTCAGAGCTCTCCACTGCTTTCAGGACAAGGTCCAAACTCCCCAGCACTGGGCTCCCAGAGGCCATTCCTCACCAGCCCCTGCATACCTCTCTGGCCTCATCTCTTTCCACTCAGCCCTGCCAACCCTTTACCCTCCTGGCCAGGAGAAATACTTGTAACTCTCCCAACACTGCCACACTCCTCTCATTGCCTCAACCCTGCCATGGTGCATACCGTGGTCTGACACCCTACCTGACCCCCTCAGACCTACTGCTGCTTAATTCAATTGGTCCATCAAATATGAATTAAGGCATTACCTCCTGATCCCAGCCATGGTTCCCTACTTTTGCTTCAATTACTGGCTTACCTGTCAGTGCCTAATACACAGTAAAAAAAAACCCACTGTCACTGAGACAATTCCACCTCATAGTGGCCTTCAAAGGGTGCAAATTCTACTGGGTGCAGATGGCCCCATCTTTCTTCCATGGAGTGAGTGATGGGTTTGAACTGCTGCCCTTACGATTAGCAATCCAATGCTTGACACTTACCTCACCAGGGCTCCTAATACATAATAGATAGGTACTCAATATTTACTGGTGCCTTCCTACATACATGAGAGGAATGCTTAGATGACTGTCTAAACGGGGGATGAAAGTTAACACAAAGACAGCGCTTGCAACATGGGGAAATGAGAGAGGTTTAAATGCAATGCATCATAATAACTATAAGTTCACTTCGAGGACCTAATGTCGGGGGTTTAAGTGGAGAGAAAATGTTTTGAGAATGATGTACAAATGCGCTTTACACAATTGATGTGTGTACCGGATTGCGATAACAGTTGTGTGAGCCCCTAATAAAATGTTTAAAAAAAAAACTATCAGTTCACTTCAAGCGCAAAAGCTGCTAACCAAAAGGTTAGTGGTTCGAACCCATCCAGCAGCTCTGTGGGAGAAAGACGGAAGGATCTAATTCTGTAACATGTGCTCCCTCTCCACTGCTATCAAGTTGATTGTAAAGATTACATGCTAAGAAACCATAGTGCAGTTCTACTCTGTGCTATAGTCCCCCGAGGTCAAGAGTCAGCAAACAAACCAGCACTACTTCCACTTACATATCTGTTTCCTCAAGTACTGGTGAGCTCATGCCAGCCAGAAGGGATAGGCCATTCCTGTATACGTACCCACATCGAACAGAAACTGGCTTCAAATGACCAGAAATTGAGCTAAGTGTTGGTATAATTTTTCTGAAGTTCAAAGATGTCTCCCAATTACAAAATTAGCAACTTGTCTCTTGAGATTTGCTTAAGACTAAGGATACAATTTACAGTTTGGATCAATGCTAACCCAATCTTATATTTTTCCCCAAAGCAGTATGTTCTACAAGAAGCATTTTCTCAGTGAAATATAAGTTATATTCTTTGAATTGTCCTTTGATTGGAGAAGTAAACCCCTGAGAGAAAGAGGGCTGGAACAGCTAAGTATTCACCCTGCTGCTGTTGTTAGGTGTCATCCAGTAGGTTCACACTCACAGGGACTCTACATACAACAGAAGAAAACACTGCCCAGGCCCATGCCATGCTCACAACTGCTGCCATGCTGGAGGCCACTGTTGCAGGCACTGTGTCAATCCGTCTCATTCCCTTTCTCACTGAGCCTCTACTTTAGCAAACATGTCTTTCTCCACAGTTTGGTCCCTCCTGATAACATGTCCAAAACGAGTCCGTCAATCAGTGTTCAGCCTACCACTGCCTCAAAAAACTCACTGCCATTCAGTCAATTCTGCCTCAGAGTGACCGTGCGTGTGACTGTTCACTATGCTAACTAAGATAAAAAATATCTGAGGTGTTTCTCAAAGTCAATCTTTCACTGAATGACACCATACAATTTGGCACTGAGTGTTCTGAAACTATTTTGGAAACAATGACTTCAGATGGACAGGCATGTCAGAAAACCCAGCATGGGGCCAATTTCTGTGAGCTGTGTGGCACTGTAAGGGCAGGAGTCCGCACCCCCCTACTTTCAAGAACTCAAACTGTTTCTGGATTACTTGGAGTTTGATGGTTCACTTAGTTCAACTAGTTAATGCTCTGGGCTAGTTTGGTGGTGGTGGTTGTTCTGACAACACTTACTGCCCTGTACCAGCTAGGAAACTGCTGTAACCCGAACCAAAGATTTTTACATATGTAACTGGTTACAGTGGAGAGCTGTATATAGTCACTTGGCTTCCCAGGGCTGGGGATAGAGGGCTTCGCCCTGCTCCTCTCGGGTTCCCTTTTCTCAAAAGTGCAGCCATTAGCACACCCCTTGAAATATTCAAAAAGAGCGTCAAACTGAAGACAACTCTTAAATACAAGCCCCAAGCACAAGGTTAGAGAAAGAATCCAGCATTGGATCAAACCCCAGCTTCCCCACTTACAACCATGACCAAAAGAGAGGGTTACTCCCTAAACCTCAGTTTCCTTATCAAAAAAGGAAGCCAATGCCCTCACAGGTCTCAAGGGTTTAATGAAATAAGAGACAGAGACCAAACCTAAGTCCTCTGCCTCTGGTCAATTTCAATGGACAGGGACACCCCCACACACAGAATAAAACTGCCCCATTTTTCTACTAACAAGGCAACTGGTAGATTTCCACCCTATCCTTCAGTTAACTAAGCCCTTTAACCACTGCACCATCAGGACACTAGAAAAGATATAGAAGTTGTATATGGCAATAAGGTGTCTAAAAGTCTATAATTTAAAAAAATTTTTAAGTCTATAATTAAATAAAAACACACTTAAAGGGGGAAAAAGATGTACATGGAAATTTGAATTTTGGCAGTACTGTTCTTAATGTCAATGAGGCAAGAACTGTGTTCCATCTCTGTACCTAGCACTTTTAATGGGTTTTACTAAATAATGGATAAACATTAGAAAGATCTAAAACAAATCTTAATCACCTGGAATGTATTCAGCTGTAAAATGGAAGATTGGACTACCCATCCTGAAACATTTAAATAATCCCTGATTTCTTCAGAACATGACTTTCATTTTCTTCTTTAATCGGAGAAACCCATGGTCTAAAATAAGGAAAAATGAAAAACAGCAGCAACAACAAATATATATATATATATAAAATCTCCAAGAAACTTGTCATTTAAGTCACATTCAAATTTTCAAATTCGAGGCTTTTCTGCAGGGGGGTGGTGGTGGCATGAGAGGTGTCTGGCTGACTCACCCGAGTTGGAGGAAGGCAATACACGAATCTGCCAGAAACACTGCATTCTCTGGACAGCTCTTCTGAAGCACGCTGCCCACCACATGAGAAATGCTCAACAATGCTTGCTGAACGAAAGCCTAGCTCATACTTGCTGCTCCCTATGAAGTCGTTACCTATTACTGCCTCCTCAGGCCCAAACCAAGGAAAGAGGGTAAGCATGGAACTGTCCTAGACACCCTCCAAACGAAGGAATCCTCCACACGCCCACTGGTGAAAGCAAATATTCGCAATCAAGCTAAGCGATAAAACGTAAACGCCGTCACAGAAATGCGGAGGAGCCGGGGGTATTCCACATCAAGTTTCAACACTCCGGCTGCGATACACGAACGAATGCTGCTGCGAGGGGTGCATTTCTCAGCCTTTCCCAACGCGGACAAGCAGCCGTCGAGGCGGTAGGGAAGAAAGACCCAGCTCCGGGTCTTCCCGGACGGTGGATGCCGCCGGGGCCAGCCAGCACCGGACAGACAAGCACCCGAGGCACCTCTCCGCCTGCACCAGGGTCACCGGACAACCACAAAACTCGGAAATGACCACGCTGATCACGAGCTCAATAGAATGGGCTGTCCCCGCGCGGCAGGCACCACTTTCCTACCCTTTCTGAAGGCAAACAAAAAACTCCGAAAGCAAGCGGATCGGCCCATTCCCCCCTCTCCTCTCCCCTGAAATGAGACTTATTTCACACCTTGCGCCCACCTCCGCCGGGACCCCGACTGACAAACTCCGAAACCCTCGGGGGGAGGGGTGGGCCTCAGAGCGCAGGGTGGTTTCCCGGAGGTCGGGGCTCCCCGGCCTGGGGTTTCGATTGCTCTGGAAGGGTCCCCGGTAGGCCCGCTACTCAGTGAGTTTCGGAGTAAAACTAAAACTGCCAGTCTCGCCCGCCGTGGTGGAAGACGCAAAACGGTGGGAGAGTTCATTTGAAGAGTTGAGGGGCCCGAAGAGGAGTCAATTTCCCCTGCTGCCCTCAGCTGCTTCCTCTTGCGCTTCCCCGGGGCCGGACACGCCGCCCCGCCGTGCAGAACCCCGCCACACACGGGGTGTCCCTCCTCACCGGAGCACATGAACTTTGAAATGGTGCCTCGGGCGGGGTGGGGGGTCCGACGGAAAAAGAAGGGGGAAAGCGACCGGGGACGCGCAAGAGGGCGCGGAGCCCAAGACACGGGGGCTAGGGTGGGTGGCGAGGCTTCCAGGGTGACACAGACATCGCGGCCGTGGAGAGAAGCGCACGGGGCAAAGGTGGAAAAAATGGAGCGCGGCCCCTTTAAGAGGCCTTCACGGCGCTGAGGGACAGGGACCTCTCCTCCACCTAGGGTCCGACGTGTGGGGCCCTTCTTGGGGGGAAGCCACCCCCGGACCCGCTGCCCGGAGGCTCCCCTCACGCCAGGTCCCGCCCGGTCCTGCCCCGGGGCGGCGGCTCCTCCTTACCCCGCTGTCTGCCGCCTCCTCCCAGCTCTCAGCGACCTCCTCATCTTCCATCTTACTCGCCGCTCTCCCTCCTCCCCCGACGCCCTCCGCGCCTGCGTCCTAAGACGCGCCGCCGTCGCAGGCGCAAGCACGCAAGGCTTTGCTCCCTGGGCCCCGCCCCCTGGCGAGTGCGGAAGAGGCTCCGGGCCTATGGCGTCGCTGCACTCGCTCCGCCATTTTGGAAGAGGGCATTAAAGCCACGGCAATGCCATCTTTCTTAAAGGCAGCGCGTTGTTTTTTGGGTACCGAACGGGAATCCACGTGAAGTCATCATCTTGCGTAGGCGTAGTATGTTCTTTGGAACCATCTTTTCTAAGGGCAGGCAATGACCAAAAACTTTTTTTCCTCCTAAGTGAGTAGTTCTCTGCAGTTCGGAATACACCAGCCGTTCTGCCGCTTCTACTCTGGTCAAGTGTGCCTATCCCGGAAACCCGCAGGGGCAGTTGGACCCTGTCGCTAGTGGCATTAAGTCAGATTCAACATGATGACAGTGAATGTAGGGTTTTTTGGAGAAGTTTTCATAAACTCATTTCTTCAGACGTTTTATACCTAAACAAAGGATGAAAGTGTCTGCTCTGACTTCAACCCGGTGTTCCAAGATGTGAATGCAACATACCAGCATGAAGCAGGGAACCAGTGGAGAGGTCTGAGGGGCCGGCCCCAATACTGTGTGGACAGCCGCCCCTCCCTGCAGAAGAATTTACTTCAGAAGACAGCACTGAAGCTGCAGCTCAGGGAGAGGGTCATGTCTGATCAGAACACAGGAGAGCAAATAAAAGGGGAGGAAGAGAGAGTAGAGCACATCCTGGCCAGAGGACCATATGGCCGGCCCAGACAAGACATGACATTCCTCACTGATCCTTGGCCTACAGGGGACAGCACTGGAGACACAGTGCAAGGAATTGCCCCCGATCTGACCCTACCACACCAAGGTGAAACACTAAGGGCTTACAATAGACGTGAGGAGCAGAGCAATGAAGTCCCCAGGGAATACCAAAAATAGACACGAGAGCCAGGGCGTGGCACTCCATCAGACTTGAAAACACTCCTTGAACTTGAAAACAGACCTTGAACTATTAAGAAGTTTTTTTGTCCTTGGTTTTATTTATTGTTGTTTTGTTTTCTTTTGTTGCTTTGTTTTGCTCTGTCTTGTTTTTGTGCACATTATTATCTCTGCAGGTCTATCTAGATAAGATAGGCAGATAAACAATCTGGAGGAGAAAACAACAAGACTGATGGGTACATGGGTACATGGGGGAGGGAGGGGTGGAGGAAAGGAAGTGGGTATTAACTAACCCAGGGACAAGGGAACAACAAGTAATCTAAAATCCATGGTTAGGAGGGTATAGGAGGCTTGGTAGAGCTTGATCAAGTGCAATGTAACCGAGAAGAATTACTGAAACCCAAATGAAGGCTGAACATGATAGTGGGACAAGAGGAAAGTAAAAGAAATAGAGGGAGAATGATGATGGTAACAAATGTACATATGTGCTTGACACAATGGATGTATATATGGATTGTGTTAAGAATTGTACAAGCCCCCAATAAAATGATTAAAAATAAATAAATAAATAGAGAAAAGAATAGAAGGCAAAGGGCATTTATAGAGGTCTAAATACAGGCATGTACATGTGTAAATATATTTTTATATGGCGATGGGGAAATAGATCTATGTGCATATATTTATAGGTTTAGTATTAAGGTAGCAGATGGACATTGGGCCTCCACTCGAGTACTCTCTCAATGCAAGAACACTTTGTACTATTAACCTGGCATTCCATTGTGTCAGGATGCTCACCTTCCTGACACAAATGCTGAAGACAAATGGGTGCATAAGCAAATGTGGTGAAGAAAGCTGATGGTGACTGACTATCAAAAGATATAGCATCTGGGGTCTTAAGGTTTGAAGATAAACAAGCGAGCAGCCATCTACCTGAGAAGCAACAGAACCTACATGGGAGAAGCACACCAACCTGTGTGATCATGAGGTGTGGATGGGATCAGGTATCAGGTATCAAAGAACAAAAAAATCATATCATTGTGAATGAGGGGGAGTGTGGAGTGGAGACTCAAAGCCCATCTGTAGGGAACTGGACATCCCTTTACAGACGGGTCACAAGGAAGAGACGAGATAGTCAGGGTGCAGTATAGCACCAATGAACATATACAACTTTCTTTGTGCTTCTTTAATGCTTTCTCCCCCCTACTATCATGATCCCAATTCTACCTCACAAATCCCATTAGACCAGAGGCTGTACACCGGTCCAGATAAGAACTGGGAACAGAGGGAATCCAGGGCAGATAAACCCCTCACGACCAATAATGAGAGTAGCTGATACCAGGAGGGTAAGGGAAAGGTTGGGGGAGAATGGGGAAACTCATCACAATGATCTACATATAAGCCCCTTCTTGGAGGACAGACAGCAGAAAAGTGGGGGAAGGGAGGGAGGGAGGAGAAAAATGAGCTGATACCAAGGGCTCAAGCAGAAAGCAAATGTTTTGAGAATGATGATGGCAACAAATGTACAAATGTGCTTGAGACAATGGATGGATGTATGGATTATGATAAGAGTTGTACGAGCCCCCAATAAAGTGATTTTAAAAAACAACCAAAAACTTTCATACCTACAGGAATAGACTTTGGAATTGCCAAAGGAGGGTAGGGCAAGGGAGGGAGAATAGAGCAGTGGGCTAGAACAGGGGACAGCACACTTTTGAGACAGAAGAGCTACTCCTGTGCCTCACAGCAATTTAAAAATTATTTGAGATCCATAAGTATATTTTTACAAACAAATAAAGTCACCATTATCTTAATAATAACCTTTAAATTGTTTCAATTTTACTTCAGAATCACATGGGAGTACCAAAGGAGCCCCATCTGGCTCCAGAGAGAGCCCAGTTTGCCTGCAGAGCACTGGGCTTGATGGGTGTTAGTTAACCCCAAGGAGGTGTGATCCACAGGAGGGAGAAGGGAAATCAAGGAGCGGGGGAGGGTAAACTTTTGAGAGTTTGGATTAGTAGACTATGGAATACAAAGTTAAAGATCTAAAAGAAAAGAAGATCTGAAATATAAACCGCACCTAAATTATAATTAAATAAAAAATGAAGCAGAGCTTAAATTGTGGTATAGTGGTTAAGAGCTGGGCTGCCATCTGCATGGTCAGCAGTTCAAAACCACCCAGCAGAGATATGACAAAATAATAATAATTTATAAATTATCAAGGGTTCATGGCGGAGAGAGGAGAGAGGAAGGAGGGGGAAAATGAGGAGCTGATACCAAAGGCTGAAGTAGAAAGCAAATGTTTTGAGAATGATGAGGGAAACAAATGTACAAAAGTGTTTGACACAAAGGATGGATGTGTGGATTGTGATAAAAGTTGTACAAGCCCCAATAAAATGACTTAATTATTTAAAAAAAAACACCAGCAACTCCTCGGGAGAAAGACTTTGCTTTCTACTCCTGTAAACAGTTAGTCTCAGAAATCCACCAGGAGACGGCTATGAGTCAGCATTGACTTTATGACAGTGATTTGATGAGGGCAACAAATGTACAAATGTGCTTGACACAATGGATGAATATATGGATTGTGATAAGAGTTGTAATACCCCCAATTAAATGATTAAAAATAAAATAAAATAAAAAATGAAGTCGATTGTAAAGATTAAACAAGTTACCATGCTGAGAAGTTTAGAACAGAGCTTGGCTCGAAGAGTTCTATTATAGAGTTGGAGGTGTTCTGCCTTCTTGAGGAAATGTCATAATTCTCCTCTCTTTAATCATCCT